CATGGTATATACTCACTCATATAGACATATAACAGATAAACCTACTAAAGTCTGTACATCTAAAGAAACTAATCAAGAGGGAGGACTCTGACTAAAATGCTCAATCCCCATCCTGAAAGACAGAGAGGATGGACATCAGAAGAAGAAGAAAACAGGAAACAAGTTAGGAACCTACCACAGAGGGCCTATGAAAGGCTCTGCCCTGCAGATTATCAAAGCAGATGCTGAGACTTACGACCAACTGTTGGGCAGAGTGCATGGAATCTTATGAAAGAAGTGGGAAATAGTAAGATCTGGAGAGGACAGGAACTCCACAAGGAGAGCAACAGAATCAGAAAATTCGAACACAGGGGTCTTTCCAGAGACTCATACTCTAACCAAGTACCATGCATGGAAATAACCTAGAACCCCTGCACAGATGTAGCCCATGGTAGTTCAGTATCCAAGTGGGTTCCATAGCAATGGGAAGAGGGACTGCCTCTGACATAAACTGATTGGCTTGCTCTTTGATCACCTCCCCCTGAGGAGGGAGCAGCCTTACCAGGCCACAGAAGATGACAATGCAGCCACTCCTGATGAGATTTGATAGACTAAGATCAGAAGGAAGGAGAGGGGGACCTCCCCTATCAGTGGACTTGGGGAGGGGCATGCGTGAAGAAGGGAGAGGGAAGGTGGGATTAGGAGGGGAGGATGGAGGGGCTTATGGGGGGATACAAAGTGAATAAAGTGTAACTAATAAAAGTTAAAAAAAAGAAACTATGGCATGCAATCAGCTGCACTTTGAAACACATGCACACAATCAAAATTTTAAAATGTTCTATAAACTTATCTTGATCAATAGTTACTGATAGGTACTTACTTTTACTTTCTCCCCTCCAGCAATAGCGTGTGAGATGGGTGTGTGTGTGTGTGTGTGTGTGTGTGTGTGTGTGTGTGTGTGTGTGTTATGTACTCAAGCACAAGCACAGAGGCCACAGAAAGACATTGGCATCTTCCTCAATCATTCTCCATTTTGGTTTTGAGACACGGTCTCTCTCACAATTTGACACTATTTGGATACAAGAAAGCTACTGAGATCTGCCTGTCCATGTCCCACCCAACACTGGGGTAGCAGTCATGTGTGGCCGTGCACAGATTTTTATGAGGGTGGACTCAGGTCCACCTATGCTCACAGTGAAGCTTCTTCCCACTGAACCCTCACCCTGCACCCTCTTATTCTCCTTACAACAGAAATATTTGTTTAGTTTTACAAAACAAGACTTGTTTGGGGTTACTTTAAAGGACTGGTAAAGGATTGCTTTAGGAGTTCAGAATCCAGTACATAATTAAGCATAAATAAGGAAAGCTGTGATGCCACACTGCCGCGGGACCACACAGCACCATGAGCTGAAGCTGATATAGAGAAGGCAGCAGGTAGCCTGAAAATTCACAGTAACACACTGTAACATTTGACTTCTATCTATACTCAAAGACAACCTTAAAAGGATCTCAGACCTCTCATGGTCTCAGTAAAGCAAGAATCAGTGATATTTTACCATCTAGCCTTCTGGGTTTAGATTAAAATGATCGCCTGCTCTTTGATTCATTGTTTACAGTAACAGCAGCTAGCTAACACTTAACTCCAGGTAAATGAGGGCTGAGTCTTGCACTGTGGGTTCTGTTAGGACAGACACAGATGTCACATTGTAGGGAGGGCATCACCAAGGCCCCGAGCTCATAATTGTCACCAACAAACTGGCTCCTCCCCACTGAATATCACATTTAACAACATTATTCCTTGCTGAGACAAACTGCTTAATTTGGTTCTCCCAGGGAGTTTTGAAAGAAGTTACCCTCAGTTAGGCTTCCATTTCCCCATGAAGGCCGTTTCCTCATGGCCGTAATGCTTGCAGAAGGCTTCACCAAAGGCTTTAGATAAAACATTATTGGATGAGTTTACCACAAGGTCTCTTGATCAGGTTGTAATTTAATAGCTGGCTGGATATAATATTCATCCCACAGTGCCTCTGGATGCCAGGCATTGAGCTTTCTTCTGAAGCATAACAATGAGTTTAATAGTCATTAATATTAATCCATCCTTTCACTCATTCAGCAGATACTATGGAGTCCAAAAAAGCTGAACTGAGCCCTTCTGGTTAATATCATTCAGGTCCCTCCTCTCTCAATCCATTCAGTTTTTACCTTTTTAATGCTTGGTTTTGCCAGTTACTATCCACTGCTGACACAAGCAGGATTGGAGGTAGTCCTGAATCTCAACAAGTTTGTGATTGCCACAAAGATGCAGGCAAACACCTAGGCAACGAAGTGTTACTAGGTTGGTCTCCCATAGTGTGAGGTGCTGCAGGAGTGTTTGGGAAGGATCCAAGATGTAATACATCTTTGCCAAGATCCAGAGCAACACATTCCACAAAGGAGAAACAGGTAGGCAGGAAAAGCCACACTGTGGAACTCAAAACCAAAACATGAAAACATTGGCAAATGTATAGATGAGATTAATTTTTAATGACCCATTCACTTATCACATTTTAATGAACATAATGATACCAGATTTCCACTGAGATTGTCACATCCTTGTAGATTATTCAATTAATTTTCACTTTTATTATTATTGTGAGGGGGTGCAAGAATACTGTCACTGGCATTCATGTCAGGGGCAGACGACAACTTCTTAGAATCAGTTTTGTCTTTTCATTGCAGGTTCTGTAGATTGAACTCAAGTCACCAGGCTTGTACTTTCCAGACACACTACCAAGAAGCAAAGAAAGTACTCTGGCATTTGATCTCACAACATGAAAGAGCTTTGGCAGGGGGTGCTGGGTCAGGCATCAGTCCCTTTCCCCTGCCAGGAGACCTGGAACTGAACACATTCCCCAGACTGGTTTCTGTGCTTGTCCTTATGCTGGATCAGTATCTTCCCACTGTCAGGTGGCGGAACTGTCATAAGATCACTGGTAAGCAAGCATTTGTTGACTAGGTGGCTCTGACTTGATCCCTGGAGGAAGTGCTGTAGTCCAGAGTAACCAATAGAGGGACTCAGTACCCTACTTTATGAACAGAGAAGATGCTTTAATACATAAGAGCACAGATCACACAACTCAGGCCCTATAGCTAGCTGCCTTTTAGATGAATTTTCCCCAGGTGCAGTGGTGGTAGCAACAGTCTTTACATCTGTTAGTAAGAACATCAGTTAATACAACTATTTATGAACTAGCTTACCAATATGAGCTAGTTGAAAGCATTCACATCATTTGACATGTTATTTTCACCCCTTAATAGATCATAAATGTCTTACCTAAAATTCACAGAAATTCCCATTAAAACAATCTTTGAGGAATTTCAAATAACCTAAAATTGAGAAGTGATTAAGTAAATCACAGTAAATGCAGTCATTAAAACGTGTTAACACATAGTTTTAATAATATGGAAAATGCTTAATTGCTTAATGCTTTAATTTCTGAAAAAGGAACTACATAATCATATGTCAACATAGGCTCAATCATAGAATGAAAAAAATTCTCAAAATATTTTTAAGAAATATTTTGTCAAAGATCACTTACAATCACCTGTAATTGATTTTCCAGACTCACAGCAAAGATGCAGACAATCGCTCTAAAATTAATATCAGAACCTAAAATGTCAGAGTGAGTTGACTTTGGTCAGTTTCACTCTTTTTATGGTTAGAACAGTCTTTTTTGTTCTTAATAATACTATTTTACATTTTCTAATTCTCTTCATTTTCTCAATTTCTACAAAGAATGAGTATTAATTTCACAACTGATAAAATTAGGTCTTAATTTAGAATAACCCCAAAAGCAATTAGTTTAGGTTACTTTGAGGGTAACTTCTCTGGACCTACCGGGCTTAGATGGATAAGTGGATGCGTATGTTGGTTAGTCTCAGTAGTTGGTGGGAGTTAGACGGCAAAGCCGTTGAGGTGAAGTCAGCAGCCCTGCACCACAGACTAGAGCCAGGCTGTAGGGCAACTTGGAAGTCTCTCTTCCCTCTGGTGTGGAACATTTTTAACCACCAAACTGAGCATGTGTGTTATTTGTCATTTTCATTAGCATGTGTATTGAAAAAGGATGGACTCCAGAATCAAAGCCCACATCAACTATGAGTTAAATTTTAAATAATAAAAATACAAACTCCTCCCAGGCTCAGTACCTGTTCTGAATGATTGTCTAAAGGACTTGAATTTATGTCTATATGATGCTTGATACAAAAAAAAAATAATTAACAAAGTCATACACTTACCTTTCTGTGTGGAAATAAGTGGTTGAAAACAGAGATACAGAGCAATGAGAAGCGCACAAGCCCCTGCTGCAGGGGCTGAGGGGGCGTGACCCGGAAGGCCATGCTCCAGGCAAAACAGTGGAATTCCACCAATGAGCAAGTCTAGTGGAGCAGTGGCTGTGAGCTGTCCTCACCCAGCTAACCAACAAGGAGTTTTTCAGGAGTAAAATTCAAACTCTCAGTATTCTTAAGTCAATAATAATATTTAACCTTACTACATATTCTCTAAAGCAGTAAAGATACCTCCATATAGGTCAAGTCCAACGATAATAGATGATCATAACGAGTGCATTAATCTTGCATTTATGACCTTGTAAAGTCCTGAAAATTATTGTTACACTTCCTTGTGTATGTGCCTGGGTGTGCACATGAGCATGAGACAGAGGCCATGTGAAAGTCAGAGGACAACCTGCAGGAGTCACTCCTCTCTTCCCACTACGTGGATCTCAGGAATCAGACTCCAATGGTCAGGGCTGGTGGCAAACGTCTCGCCCACTGAGCCATCTTGCTGACTGACGCTGTGGGGTTTTGTCCAGGCTGGCCTGCAGTCTGTTTCCTATAGTGCTGTGTACATCCGTGCCCCTGAGACAGCCTGAACTGCTTGTCCCCTTCTTTCTGCTGTCCAGTGGACGGGAGAGAATAAGGCTAGTGTGTCCGTTTTGATGTCTTGAAGTAAGTTGGTGACGTTCACAACTTGGCTTTTGCAGCAGCTACAGCAGCAGATACGGCGTCCCACCACATCAGACCTCCCATCGGCCCCTCCATCCTCAGCCCCTCTCATCTCTGTTCTTGGGGGGCTGGAACACATGTCCTGAGGTGAGTGGGTTTGCTTCTTCTTATAAGCTGTGTGATGTTTCTAATCCTGTCACAGAGTGTGGCTCCAGCATCTATCTCCAGTGTGTGTGAGAACAGCACAGGAAGCCTGATCTGCCTTCGGTACCTCAGTCTCTATTGGCCCCAGCTCAGAAGTCTCTGTTGCTGGTCTCTGGTTTTGCAATGTTTCTCACAGCTGATTAGTGAAGAGAGACCTGGGTTTGATGGGTGGCACCCAGCCCTATCCCAGCTGCAGTTTGGTTAGCTCTGCTTGAGCCACACTGGTGAAGCAAGCCTACAGGACCCCGCAGAGGATGGGTCCTTCAGCAGTAACCTGAATCCACAGCAGCCACAGGAGCCACAGCAGCTGCTGTTCCCTTCCCGTGTGCTCAGAGGCTGACAAGGGAGTCTGCGCTGGGAGACAGCAGTGCATAAGATGCTCTCTGCTATTGCAGTCTCCATTTGCTCAAATCTGGTCATGACACCATGGGTTCCCCTAAGTGGAGGGCAGTGAGCTGGGTTCTAAGCTTCTCATGTATAAATGTCCAAAGACTTACTGTTCACACCAGCAATCAGGTCTTCTCTTTTCTTCAACAGCCTTGATGGTTCCTTCTTCCTAAACATTTTAACTTTACCCAACAAGAAAGCAGACAAACTAAAGCTGTTACTGTTTCAGATGGTAGCCCCCAAAGACAGAGTGAGCCCTACTTTTCTACATCTGGAAGAAATAGTATGATTTGGCCATTTCTTTTTAAGGCAACATCCAAATCAAGCCATTGCCTATACTGTTATGTCCATAGAGCCTTTTAGAAGAAAAGTGGAAGTTCACACAGGCTGTGGTTTGAGTATCTTGGAGGGCAAACCCTTTCTCTTGGCCACCTGGTCTGATGTGTGCTGTGCTGAATTTAGGGTCTTCTCATTGCAGGCAGGTTAACCCCACAATGGCAGCATTTGTTTTGTTTGTTCAGCCTGGGTGTGTCCACAGGTGTAACTCTGGCACTCAGAACTGCACTTTGTAAATGCTCAAACTGTGACATCTGTAGATGAGCACATGCTCTTGTCAATACCTCCTACTTCATGTCTCGATTTTGGTATGGGGAAAGTTTTACCTTAAAAATTGTGTGACTTCACATGGTATATACTCACTTATATTAGACCTGTAAGATAGGATAAACATACTGAAATCTGTACACCTAAAGAAGACAAACAAGAAAGAGGACCCAGGGTACGATGATCAATCCTCTCTTAGAAAGACAAATGAGATGGACATTGGATGTAGGAGCAAACAAGTAGGTTTGTAACAAGTAGTAGCAAACAAGTAGGACAGGAGCCTACCACAGAGGGCCTCTGAAAGACTCTTCCTAGCAGTGTATCAAAGCAGATATTAAAACTCATAACCAAACTTTGGCAGAGTGCAGGGAATAAAAAAAAGGGGGGGGGAATTAACATGACCTGGAGAGGATAGGAGTTCCATAAGGACCAATTATATCTGGGCACAGGGGTCTTTTATGAGACTGTTTCTCCAACCAGGGACCATGTATGGATGCAACCTAGAGCTTCTGCTCTGATTTAGCCCTTGGTAGCTCAGTATCCAAGTGGGTACCCTAGTAAGGGGAACAGGGACTGTTTCTGACATGAACTCAATGGCGGGCTTTTTGACCCCCCCCCCCAGGGAGGAACATCCCTGCTAGGCCACAGAGGAGGACTTTGCAGCCAGTCCTGAAGACACCTGACAAACCAGTATCAGATGGAAGGGGAGGAGGTTCCCCCTATCAGTGGACTTGGAAAGGAGTAGGGAGGAGATGAGGGTGAGAAGGTGGGGTTGGGAGGGAGAGAGGGAGCGAGATACAGCAGGGATACAAAGTTAAATGTAACTAATATTAAAAAAAATAAAAATTATAAAAAAGAGTCAAAAGAAAATAAATGCCAAATTATTATAAAAAAAATTGTGTGACTTAAAATAGTATGAGGAGACCATTTTTAGTGTTGCAATGTAAACCTAGAGAGCACTATCTGGAGACAATGTACTGAGTACCTTATCCAGAATTCCCTTCTCTCTGTAGGAAGAAAGTTGTGCCAGGTTTTAACTTAAAATATTAATAAAGAGATTTATTTGCTATGTGGTTTGTATGTGTGGGGGAGTGTTGTGTGTGGGGGAGTGTTGTGTGTGTGTGACTGTCTGTCTGTGTCTGTGTACACAGAGAAAGAAAGAGAGATGGGAATTGTTTCAGTGGGAAATTTGTATTACTAAGGAGTGAATTTTACCAGTACAGAACAAAAGCTCTCGATTCAGGTAGAAAGATGGAGATGAGGTGCCCTTGAACAGCAGAGCCACCAAGCTGCTAGCAATGCTGGGATTCCCCTCAGCTGAGCCTGCCTTGACCCTGGCATCTCATAATCATTTCTATTATCTTTTCAGAAAAGTCCAAACCATATCAGGAGGGTGAGTGGTAAGGTGATGGGAACAAGGGACCACGACTCTGATTTTTCTCTTCAACAACTAACTTTCTGAGTCCCCACTGCTCAAGGGAGCAGTGTTGTCAATGACGCTGGGGACATAACCATTATGTAGAGATCAAATAAATAAACGTTAATAATCTTAGAACTACAAGCCAAGATTAAGGAAGGCAAGACTCTATAAAAATGCACACTAAATCAAGCCCAGAAAGTTGGGGGACAGAGAGATAGTGTGGAGTCCTGGAAGTATTCCTAGAAGTGACACTTGGGCTGAGATCAAAATCCAAAGACAAACATTCACTGAATAAGGGGCTGCTGAGAGGCTGAAATTGTTCGAGCAAGGAGAAAATGTGTAAATGTATTGTGAGCATAGAGATGAAGGGTTTGCTGGTTTTGACATCACTGAAGCCAGTGACAGTTTAAACCTCTAGGCCAGGCACGATTTGATAAAGGATTTTTAGGTGTAAAAGACAAATGCCATGTTGTTCTGCCCATTGCTTTGTTTTCATGTTCATTTCTTTATAATTTCAGACTTGAGTACTGTATTGACATCATTTGCACTCCCCCCTTGCCCCTCTGCAACCTCTTCTGTGTCCCCCCAAGACTCCCTCTCAACATTCATGACACAATCCAAACCCCCAATATTCCAGAGATTGTGGTTCTGGCTTAAGTTTCTACACAGACTGAATGTATTTCCAGACAGTAGCAGAAACATAAGGAAGTTTGTTTTGTTGTTTTGGTTTTTAAGACAGGGTCTGTGTGATCATAGCTAACCTGAAACTTGCAATATAGACCTGGCTGGCTTTGGTAGATAATGTCAGGCTTTGGAAAGCCTTGGAAACTATAATATAAATGTATACATGAAATTGTAGATAATTTTAATTTTACCACTAAAGCAGTAAAAGATATACATATATATATATATATACATATATATGAGAAATAATTTTTAGAAATATATTTCTTAGGTATGAAGGGTTTCTCATATTTGCTGAAATCGTTACATGTAGCTCTATTGATTAAAGAACCTCTGAGTTATTGACTGTGTGGGCATGACTCACTCCGACCTGGTGTTCCTGTGGAAGCACAGATTCTCCAGCCCCATTCTCAGCCTCAGAAAGAGCATCCCTGGGATGGAGCCTAAAACTATGCATTCAACATGTACCCTAGCAGCATATGCCCAGTAGAGACAGATCTGAAGCATGAAAACTGAAGCAACACCTCCCCCAGGGGGCTGCTGGCACTGTGATGCAGGTGATCATAGCAGGCACTTGGCAGTTGCCATGGGGATTCAAAGGGTAAACCCAAGACCTATTGCAAAGGAGGTGACTTAAGGAAGAGAGGACATTGTGCAGGGGACACCTCTCCTGCCTTCTGAGAGGCAGCCAGTGAGGAAGAGGAGGCTTTTCACTTACACAGCAGGAATATGGTGGCAGCAAGGAAAAAGAACAAAGCTAAGGACCTTTCATTACAGAGACAGTACTTTTAAAATGTTAGGAAAATGAAAGATAGATCTAGAAACAAAACCAGCATTCCATCTCCTGCTTCAAGAGAGCTGTCAGTCAGAACAGAGGAAACTGACCATAGGAGATGACAGGCTCCTCACAGGTGCTTCCCACAATGAAGCAGCATCAAGAGAGGAAGGAATGTGACAGGGGAGCCCAGGCAGAAAGGCCAAATGAAAACAAATTAGAGCAAGAACTGAGCCAGAGGTGTCTGACTCTTGGTAAGACAGAGGAAGGGGGTGAAAGGCCTTGAAAATAAGAATGGCTCATCATTTGCTGTCAGCTCCACATGGCAAATACAAGAGAAATGGGGCTGCGCCAAGCTGTATTTGCAATGTCCGAGCAATCCCTTAAGCTTATTTAATATTATAAATATCAAATACAGCTAAAAGGACATAGAGGCCAGGACAGATACAAAGACAGGAAAGAGAACATTTGTTTCTGTTTAATCTACCCCACCAGGCACTGTGAATTATAATATTCTGTTCTGTGAATGCAGAAGCTAAGTATCTTACTGTGGTTTCAGTAATAAATTACCTGACTAGACCTGTAGTTTCCGGGTAAATGTGACTTTCAGTGCAAGATGTTTATTCACCATTGCTGTTAAATCCAGTATTTATAAGCACGTTTTGTTCCTCTGCAAGGAGGGGTGCTCTCAAAACACAGCAGTGGCAGGCTCAGCTAGGAAGATCAAACCTCCAAAGACTCATTCTACTGCTTATTTGGTTTTCAAAGTCTTATATTAATAACAATTGGCAATAAAGCTCCTTAAAATTCCTTTTGTTCTTGAGTCATTGTGTTGCTTTAGAAACCTGTTTGCCCTTCTGCAAGGAAGGAAGCTAAGATCGCCCTCTTCTGGACTTAGAGGATTTTTTCAAAATTTGCAGTTGGCCTAGAAATCCTCAATTTTTTTTCCTTTCAGAGAAATAGCGGGTTTTTAAAGACTTCTACTTAAGGTCTAAGAAAATTATCGACAGTATGATTACAAAAGGGTAAAATTTACCACTGTGCAGTACAGTTAACAAACACGGCTGAATTTTC